ATCTATCCGCGAACGAAGGGTGCTTCATTGTCCAAGAATTGAACATAGCGTCAACCTTATTAAGCAATGGTCTGAAGTCCGACTTTATCATTTTCTTAGAAGAGAGTGGCACTCCAAGATACCTGACCGGAAGCACCCCTTGCTTTATCCCCAACGCCTCAGCCAGTTCGTGGCACAAAGAATGACTTCCACCATCAATCATCAGCTTAGTCTTATCTTGTTTGATACTTGTCCCGAGATTTGCTTAAACTCTTCTAAGATCTTCAGAATTCCTCTTAAAAACTCCTCTGAACCATCAAAGAACGCCAGCACATCATCCGTGAAGCTAAAATGCGTTATGAGAGGCTCCTCACAAGAGGGATGGGGCTTGAAACGGTTGTTTCTTTCTCCTGCATCAAGCATTTTTGATCCATGCGAAAAGATTGGGTCCCCTTGGCGAAGATCTTTCTTTCCCTAGAAGAAACCATACAACTCACGTTCACCACTACGCTGAAAGAGGTGGTAACAATGCACTCTTTAATCCAACCAATCAACGTATCCGGCAACTCAATTGCACTAAGAAAATTCAGTAAAAAATCCCAGTTAATATTATCATAAACTTTTGCAAGGTCTATCTTTAGACAGTCCCGAGACACACGTCTTTCAACATAAAAATCAGTGACTAACTCCGAAGCTAGAAGGACGTTTTCACACAAAAGACGATCTTGAATGAACCCCACCTGATTTCTCTACACCACTTCGTCAATGAACAACTTAATCTTCTTCTTGAGAATTTTAGCTATCACCTTATAGACAGTTGAGCACAAGGATATTGGTCGAAACATATTTAATTTGTCTGCTCTCACTGCTTTCGGAATTAAGGCAATAGCAGTGGTATTAAAATTTCTCAACATTCTCCCACCCACAAAGCCTTTATAGCTGCAAAACATCATTATCAACCACTGTCCAAGCATCCCAAAAAAACTATGCAGGGAACCCATCTTGCCCAGGCACTTTACTCTTGGGCATAGACATTAATGTAGCTGTAATCTCATCATCGCTAGGCATATCACAGAGCTTTCCAAACAACAAAAAAGGACATCTATAACACATCATACTCTGAAATCCATCCACAGAAGGAGGAGAAATATGAGGTGAAGCTGAACCAAGAAGGTTTTGAAAATAGGATACCACCATCCCTCTGACCTGAGTCTTGTTTGTAATCTTCACCCCAAAATCATCAAATTAAACTCTTATGGCATTTCTTGCTTAATGTGCCATTACCACTTTATAAAAGAATCTTTCAACCATCTTATTCTGGCTTAATCTTATAAAAGATTTGAAGTGCTGAGTCCAGAAACTTCCATCTCTTTCGGACCATAAACTCTCTCCTAAAGATAGACTCTAAAGGGGAAGGAAATAAACATCTCACTCTGAATCTCTTGCAACTCTTCCATAGCCAATCTCGTCTTCTGTTGAATATTGCTGAAACCAATTTTGTTGATTCTTCTGCAAGCTTGCTTAACCTTTTTCAAGTGCTGCCCCAACAAAAACATATCTGATCCCACTGCATAACTACAAATGAGAGGATAAGAAGGAGAAGTATTTAAATCTCATCTTCCTGAAGTCAGGCTCGATAACCAAATCAATTACACACAGTGCATGATCAGATTCACCTCAAAGTGAGAAACACCATCTGAAAAACCATCCATCCACGCTTCATTACCCAATACTCATCGAGCTTACGAAGAATTGGATCATCTGGTATGTTATTGGACCAATTATAGAAAACATTCCTGATTTCAAGATCCTCCACCTCATAAGCTACCAAACAATTTTGAAAATCGTCCATTCCTCTGATCGGTAAGTCATAAGGAAACATTGAGAAATGATTTGAAGCTGTTAGAATCTGATTTAAGTCACCAAGGATGAGGAACAGTATGTTTCTAATTAGATAATGATTTGCAATGCCCACTAACTCTTCCCACAGCTGCCTCTATTGAACTTTTGTGTTGTATGCATACACAAATCCCACTGTCACATAGACTTAATTAACTGGATCAAAAACCCCACATACAACCATCTGCTCAGATTTCTTAAAAACCACCACATATAATGACTGATCCCAAACAACCCAAACTCTTCCACCGTTTACCTCCGAATAATTACTACCATACGTCCACCCTTGGAGCATTCGAGACATCACTAAAGCTGAGTTCTCCTCTCTTACTCGGGTTTCCACAAAAGCACCTCCTGAGGATCCCAAATTATTAAGCCACCTCCGAACATTGTTTTGACGACTACTACTACTACTTAAACCTCTAATGTTCCAAGAGAAAATATCATATGTACAGGATTGAAGAATGATTTTCGGTTAATGAGGAAATTTATTCCCGGAGGTCGAACTCTGAGCCCAGATAGAGAAGCCCTTAGGAGGAGACTGTTTTAACAAGGAAGCCTGCCACAAACCCTGTTTTATTGCTTTACAGATAGCTTTAGGATACTTCAACCAAATTCTTTCATCATCATCGGGATAAACACCAGTAGGCAAAACCGGGGTCAGACTCCACTGCCCCTTCTCCCTCTGATACTTATGCCAGCGCTTCAAAAGCTTTTGGAGATGGATCACCTCCTACCTCGCTCAGAACTTCTCCCAACTCCTTTTTCCATTCAGAGATAGCACATGCAGGAACAATCTTTGCTTCTTCCACATCCACGACATGCTGAATGAGACTGCATTATCCTCTCTCACAGTTCTTGGGTGCTTGCTTGATTTAGAGAGATTCTTAAAGCGGGACCTCGAGCTACCTCTCTTCCTCAACTTCTTCTTTTTGGCCTTCGTTTCCGGAATTTCACTCTGAACATTATGGGCCACTAGGCTTTTCTGCTCACCCTCTAATAGAGTTGACAGCAACCTGATCTTGGACGATGTTGAAACCATCCTGTCTTGAGAAGGACCTTCTTAATCAGACACTTTCTTTCTTTTAACTAATGGCTTAGTACACCGGTTAATAAGAGTACCGAACTTCTCACAGTTTATACACCTGGGATGGAGGCTAGGATGATCAACATTGATTTGAACAAAGTTTCCTTGAACATCCCTAATTTTAACTAGCTTAGGAGGAGCATCATCCAGAGTAATTTTGACTTTGACCTTAGTATCTCCGAAGTGGTAAGAGTTCAGCCTTGACTTCTCTGTGTGCAAAGGCTCTCCAATAGCAATAGCCACAACGATAATCCCATCTAGAGAGTACAACTGTTGTGGGATGTTCCTAAGAATAGCTCACGTCAGAGCAGTTTTGAGCTCATGCTCCTGAAGAGTACCTTATGCCGTCCAAGAATACACTGAGAAAGCACAATGATCAACCTGCCAGTAGCTCACTTGTAACACCTACTACCTAGTTTGAACTGAGGGAATGAATATGAGGAAGCTAGTCTGAGAAATTGTACGAATAATGATGTTTCCAAACTTTCTCCACACTGGATTTGAAATCGGCAATGATTTTTTCCGGGTGAGGTCGTCGTCGATGGAAGTGAGCCACAATGTGGTCTTTCCACAGCTCCGAAGCTTTGAGAAAAACAACCAGAGGGGTTTGAACCACTGGGGTTCAATCTTTGAGAAAGGTTGGATCTGATATCTTTCTGAAGTTTCTGAAAGACGTTTTAAAATTTTCAGCATACGACAGAGCTGAAGAGAAAGGAATCACTGACAGGATGGAGGAAAGCTAAAGCTTGGTGTTTATTTGAAAATCGAGAGCTTTAGCTTCCTTATCTGAGACTGATTGAGGAACACGAAACATCGCTGTAGCAGCGTAGGAAACCATTTTAGTGATTAGCCAAAATCACGAGACATCGATGTATGGATTCATACATCGCTTCCCTATCCGAGACTGGTTAAGAAATACGAGACATCGCTCTAGTAGCGTCGGAAATCATTTTAGTAAGAAAAGGGGAGGGGAGAGAGTGTTCTCGTCCTCAGGCGTGAGGCATGTTGACGGCGACAAAAAAGAATAAGTTCTAATCATATATTTTTCGTCAAAAAGAGAGAAATACACATTTTTAAAAAAAAAAATTTGCATCAGAAATGTGATTTTACTGTATAAATATGATTTTTCAGTCTCTTGACTTGGTAATGCTGCGGTATAAATATGATTTTACAGTCCCTTTACTATACTTGAGTTTTGTATATACAACTAAGTTAATCTCTACAGTTTCCAAGTCAAGTTTGACTAAAAACTACGTCAAATTTGGTATATTTCCAAATTCCCACAAATCATCAAAATCCAGTAAGTCCCACAAAATAAATTTATGGTCAAGATTTGGGATACAAACCGGAATTATCTGCCCGAGTATAATTTTCCGAACTAACAATATGTGGTTCCGACTTGAGTCCAGTACCCAACCCAACCAGCTTTAAGGACATTTTGAAATTGTTTTCTTGGCAGACTTAGTTTTCTTTTTGGGAACGCAAGCAGTCTTAATTTTAAACAAAATATTTACGTACTAATCAAATGATTATCTTCCTGAAACTTTTTGTTTATATCACCCACCAGAATTAAACAATTTGTGTCCGGTGAAGTTTTGTCCAAGAGTGAATCAACTCTACAAAAACAAATTTATATTAGTCCAAGAACAATCAATTCTTTTGGCTCTCATTCAGTTTGTCCTACCTAACATCCTTATCCAGATACTGGATTACGCATGAAGTATGGTGAGTTTCTTTGCCTGTACAAAAACATAAAGTATTCTCTAGACGTAATATCTTTTGCTTCACGGATCGATAAAGAGCTTTTCCAATTCTAATAAATTCTCATTATTTAGTCCCTTTGCGTACTACAAGCTCTCACAGAATACAGTATTCAAAACGTAGAGATTTTGAACCTGTGACAACACCTTAGCGTGTGTTCATCAAAAAGGTTACAGAACCGAATAATCATATTATTTAGTCTAGTCAAGACAGATCTCAATGCCTCAAACAAATAAAAACGGCGGTAAAAATAACATAAAAACATGACATCATATTATTTTTCCATGTCTATGCCTTTAACCAAGAAAACAGTACTAAAAAATAACATAAAAACATGACATCATATTATTTATCCATGTCTATGTTCAGTTATGAAGAACAGATACAGCAGAAGAAGCATATAGCTATAAAGAAAGCGCAAGTTACAGAGAGGATGAGAATGCGAAACAGAGAGAGATATAAACTCTTAATCTCATTGCAAGAACTTGTCAATGCTAGATGTGAGTGTGGATTTGGGCACTGCACCTATGACTGCATCCTTCTTCTCGCCATTGACAAAGATCATGATCGTTGGGATGCTTCTAACATTGTAGCTGCTTGGGGCTGCAGGAGAGTCATCGGTGTTTAGTTTGTAGAACTTGACCTTCCCGGCGTACTGTTGTGCTAGCTCATTCACTAGAGGGTCAATCATTTTGCAAGGTCCACACCATGGTGCCCAAAAGTCGACAAGCACAGGCCCATCCGCCTTGAGAACTAGGGAATCCCACGTCGAGTCGTTGACTATTGAAACTACTATGCTCATCAACAAACCAAAACAACAAATTAAATTAAATTAGTCAATAGATTAAAAGGATAACATGATCATTGACCAGCGAGACAGCTGAAAACCATTCATCCATCTTTGGTCACATGAGTCGTTGACTACTAAAACTACTATAAATCAATAAACAACTTATCCTTTAGAATCATAAGTGAGCAAAAGAAAACTACATTTGTCAAGATATTAAAAAGATAAGAGTTGATAAGCTAACCAAAGAGACAGCTGAAAACCACCCATCCATCTTTTGTCACATCATTAAACCTATATCTATGCAGCTTCAATCTAGAAGTGAAAATTTGATCAAAACATGATAAAGACAATGGAGTTATCCAGTATGTACAGCACACACATCTTCAGAAAAACCGTGATGAAGAACAACAGATAGAATGAAGTTTGTGTGATTCAAAAGCAATCAAAATAAAGGGTAATGTTTCAATCGTTTCAACTATTGAAAATGTAGCAAAGACACATCACTGATCTCACCGAACACATTATCATGTGAAAGGATTTGCTAGCATAGATCCCAAAATCTAGACATGTTAACTTAAAAGCAAACCATCCCCATTGCACATAACTAAGTACATTCTTGTCCTAAAATGTATGTAAGTGATAGAATAGCTGAGTAGGTAGTAAACATAATCTTATAGGGTTTCTATACTTTAAAATTGTGAAAGAGTATACATTTTCTACATATCCACTGAAAGAAAGAAGAGAGATCCTAAAACGCAACATTACTAAAAAATTTACAACACGCAAAACAACATGACTATTTCATCTAAACAGAAACCTCATTTTCAGCAGGAAATGTGCTCTCCCCCCCACCCCACCCCCACTAAGAAACGTGTTCAGCAGAATCTCCTTAACATAAACAACTAACAAAATCAATCAATAGAGTAGGTAGCCAACATAATCTTACAGCTTTCTTATACTTATTAACTCTAAATCACAAAACTCCAATCCTCATAACTCATCACTTGCTTCTCCTAAAATGTGTATGATCCAATCAATAGAACAGCTAGACAACATATAATCTAATAAGTTTCTTAGTGAAAGAGCATACACACTTTTTTGTCTTTCTACATATATCCACTAAAAGAAAATAAGATCCCAAAACGCAACATTTTCCAAATTTTCAACACGCAAAACGACATGACTTTGTTCATCTCAACAGAAAACCTCATTTTCAGCAGTTAAATCATCTTCTCCCAAATTAACTAATTCAAAAACCAAAATCAATCAATCAACAGAAAACGAGAAGCGATTGGAATCAAGACTAAATCGAACAAGTTATAGAGAGAGATTAGCAGAGAGAGAGCGTACAGTCAGTAGTAGTTTCCTGAGCTTCGCAGACGACGCCTCTTCGTGATCGAGAAACCCTAGGGCGAATCGAGGTCAACGAGGACGGAGACTGGGAAAGACGGATTCTCAATCCTCCTGATTGGGGTGACACGGCGAAGAGTCGACGAGTAGAGAGTGAGGCCGAGGCCGAGGATGCGATTCTCGTGTTTGAACGGAGCGAAAGGGGAGGAAGAGAGGTACAGGTGAAAGCAGCAGCCATGGCTAAGAGGGAGGGTAAAGAGAGAGAAAAGCACCAGCGATCCTCCTAATCCCAAGTGTACAAATAAAAATGAGAAAATGGCATGGACCTAAAAAATTTTTTTTTTTTCACAAATATATAGATTTTAACAATTAAAATGACCAAAATATCATTTAAATGTTTTGTTAAATATATATTTATATCCCTTGGGTTAATTAATCCTATTTTTTTTTTAAAAAAGTTGAAGAGTGGGGTTTTGAGATAGGATTTCAAAATTTAAAAAAATAGAAAAAACTTAAATTTTCAAAATAAAAAGTGATATTTTGATTATTTTAACTTTTGAGGTCTATTTTATGATAAAAACTTAAAAGAGTGCTATTTGAAATAATTACCCAATATAATATCCAGATAACAAAATTATAAACAATTAAATGCTTCCTTTATATATGAAATGAAACTAATAACACACTGAATGAAAATGCTGATGTCAAAAAAGAAAAATACACAACCAATAAAGCTAAATTTCTCAAACAATTTTTTTTTAAGTTTATATCACACAAAAATACAAAAATAGATTTCAAAAACTAAAATGACCAAAATAATATTTTTTTTATTTTAAAGTTTTTTTAAAAATTTTGAAATTCTATCCCCACAAAAACTTCACTCTTCGCCTCTAGAATTAGTTAATCCAAATAGTGTAATTGTATATTTACTTATTTTTGATAAAATATTTAAGTTTATTTTTGTTATTTTTATTTTTAGGATCTGTATTTGTGATAAAAAAAAAATTTAGGTCCATTTCCTAGAATTTTTTTTTAATAAAATGTTTTTTTTTATTTTTGACAAGAATATGTTTTTAAAAAAAATTGTTTTTCTCCTCTTATTTGTTATTTTAAATTAATAAAAGAGTAATTGCATACTACACACAAGGAAAATATGCTAATTAGCTATCTACCTTTTTTGTCGTTTTTGATATTCTCGTCTGGTGTCTTTACCATATTACCCCTACACAATAGAAAACTTCGGTTGTATCGATCACCAATTCTCTCCTCTTGATTTCTTCGTTATCCATCTTTTTTAGCAAACGTTACATGTGTCAAAACGATTCGATCGAGGTATCGTAAAGACAGATCCCTTCTAATACTTATAAAGCGTCTGTTGGTGTAGTATAAATCAGAGACATCTCCATCTCTTCTTTCCTATCTCAAAGTACCCTGTACTCAATCTTTTCGTAAATGGAGACAACCGCCGGCGATCCTCCTACACCTTCCTTCCCCGCCAGAATGTTTGCTTTGGGAGAGAAACCAATGGGCATTAGGGTAACACCATATCACAAACCCTCTTGTATCTCTAAGATTCTCAACGCTTTAGAAGAAGAGGAAGTTACATTCATAAAGCAATCTTCATTTGGGAAACTCATAGAAATCTCTGAGAAACCTTCATTTTCGGGTCGCGTGGGCCGATTCCTGTTCTCTCGCCTATTGAAGATTCGTAAGAAGTACGAGGCGTGGTTCCTATTTGCAGGGAACCCGATTAGATTCTCAATTAGGGAATTCGCACTAGTCACTGGTTTCAATTGTCGTCGATACCCACCGCAGACGAAGAAGAGGAGCAAGAAGTTCTTATCGGAAACGCCGTATTGGGGTGTGCTTTTCGGTACTTTGACCGAAGTCCCGGTGAATTTTGTCATTTCTATGCTTAAAAATAAGACGGTTACTGAAAGAGGAATGAGGATAAAGTACGCACTACTCGCCTTGCTGTCTGCCGTAGTCATTCCTACATCTCACAAACCCCGTATATTACATGCAGCGGCTGAGAAGATCAGAGATATTGATGAGTTCCTGGCTTACCCGTGGGGACGTGCATCTTTCGAGTTGCTGATGAGCAGTATCAAATAGAGGGATGAAGTATCTCTATCACAAAACATGATTGCTTTCAAAGGGTTTGTTATGGCAATCCAGCTTGTTCTGTTAGAAGTTGTTCCGTCTCTCTTGGGAGTGGTAAAAGAAGGAGAATCCTCTGGATCAGAAGCAGACTCTGAAGACGAAGAAGAATCAGTAGTTGTTGATAGGGAAGGCAAGAAAAGCATCAACACAGGGCATATACGTTCCATTGATTCTGCTTGCAAGGTTTTTTTCTCTTTACTAATTATGTCTCTTTCATTTCCAATTGTTCATGGTACCAATATATAGCCTTCGCATGAGTCACATATGCGGGTACATATTAGCATTGATAAATAAAATATGAGCTGTCTACAAAATGTGTTAGCAGGATAAACCATATCCTTATATAATTGTGACATGAATATTTATAGGTAAAAATCGTATCCATCATATCTGATGGTGTGGAATTAACCAATTGGGAGCCAGATGTGGGATGTGACGACGAGGAAGATGTTCATGTTGACAATATTGTTAGAGCAGTTGGGGAAGGATTTGAATTTTCAAATTCAAATTTCAAAGGTGGTGCAACCAAAGCTGATGTTTGCCGTATGCGTGATGAAGCCACCAAAGCTAACAAAAACCGTAAAGAAGCAACTCTACGTCAGAAACAACCTGCCACTGAAGGGATAAATGCAGAGTATGTCGCTTTTATTGTGGCAAGCAGGGTATCTGGAAAGATTATCCATCATGGGCGATCAAATAAAAGACATTGGTCTGTCTCTAAGAAACTCGCAAGAACAGTTTCAGGAAAAGATGGAAGACTTTTTCAGAAGATCGGTGAAGGAAATTACAGACTCGATCACCAAGTCTTGCACCCGCCCTCACGTTCAAGAATCTGTTCGAGCTGAACATGACAACACTGTAAAAGAGACTCGTGCTGGGGGACCGTCATCCTCATTTGCTGCGTCCGAAATAATTGAAGAAGCTCTCCGGTTTGCTAACAAGGAGACAACACATGCACGTGATGTAAGTTAGTCTGCGTGCTAAACAATTTTGTATATTAACAACCATGTCCCTATGGGTGAATTTGTTGAACTCCAACTACCAACTTGTCTTTTTTCTCAGGAGTCAAACGAAGCGTATATGGCCAACGACGGATCACACGGCACCCGCGAGAGTGGGGATGGTCAGGAGACTGTGTTAAACCGCCACATTGCAGAGAAACACACTGTAAGTAAGAGTATATGTTCTTGTCTTAATTATATGGATAACAAAGTTAGATCCAAAGTTGTAAATTTTATTAGCCCGCTAATTATCATTTGTGCACATACACAAAAATTGCGTAGCAAGTAATAACATTTCTATCTACCGTTTGTTCATCACAATTTTGATATCAATGTACATGTGGAACCCGCAATTCCTCCTAATATTAACATCGATGAGAGAAGTAAGGAGTCTCCCTATGAAGCCGACAAAGCAAATCAGGTGTTTTTTTTTGTTGTCTATTTTAGTGTGAAGCACGTACTTCATTTGGACGTTTTCTTGACTAATCATGTGTTTTCTTGACAACTCGACATTTTTTAATCTGTCGGAAACGTCTGGAACTGGTCTGTCGTTCCCGGACCCCTCATTCTCTATTGGCCTCATGCAACTTGACAACGAAAATGCTCAACCTGTTGAGCATGTACCACACGAAAACGAGGAGTCATTGCCAGAAGCTGATGTTGATGACGGAGGTCCTATACTTAACCGTAAAAGCAAAAGAGCCAAAGTTGTGCCCAAAAACCTTGTTGGTGATTATCAGTGCGACAGAGGGATACTCACTCGTGCTTGGGAATCATACATTAATGCGATCTGCAGCACACCAAGCATTGACTATGCCGCCAAATTTTTGAATTTGTTGGAGCTAATCGGTGGATCTAAAGTGTAAGTGACGTTATTTTTACATGCTAACAACACAATTAGCTCCGAACTTTCCCAAGACAGTTAAACTTTTTTTCTTGAACGTTTCTAATTTATTCAATAGCAGTGTTATAGATTTTGGTGGCGCATCTCTCCAATCAAGTGAATTGTCTACAATCCTTGATAGGTCTTCTCATTTAACTCCTAAGGTATATATGACAAACCTCAATCAATATGTTTTTATACAAGTGCCGTTGTTAACATTCAATTGTCTTTTTTTACGTTTTTCGTTTGTGATAGATGTTGGATGTGCTTATTCACCACACATGTGCTGTGTTCCTAGCCAATTCAGATCATATGCACTCAAAGAACTGTGTTTTCCTTGACACCAAGTTCGTGACACTCCTTGCTAAGTCATTTATCAAGTTCTCGAAGGCGGTTAGGAAAGACAAGGTCCGTTTCCCAGCAGCTTTGTGTTCTTTTTTGTCTCGCGACTGTCCAATAACTGAAGTTAATCGTTTCTATATCCCTTTCAACTTCGACAAACAATATTGGGTTGGACTGTGTCGACCTCTCTTTATATCAGGTTATTGTGCTTGACTGCAACACATCTCTGAAGACGGACACAACTGTGCAACAGATTTGCGACCCATTACACAAATGTTCCCCTACATTCTTAGATAAGCCGGAAGACAGTTGAATGCGAAGGAGATGAAGCCTCTTACCCTTGACAGGACACGAGCCGTGCCTCAGAACAAGAACCTATTCGAGTTTGGTATTACAACGGTGCTGCTCATACAGGCTCACGTTGTGGGTGGAGTTGATGTATGCAAATGTATCACTCCAGAAGTTCTGGACACGGAAGTGCAACGGATCGCGGTTATGATGTACGAAGAAAATGTATCACCTCTCTGATGTAGCAATTGTGTCTTTGCATTATCTCCCTTTCGCACTCATGTTTATGTTGACTTCTTTGTTTATGCGATGTTGTAGCATGCTAACTCGTTTGAGTTTATGTTAATTTGGAATTTTATGGCTGTTATTTTCTTGTTATGTACTTGTTCAGAACTTTCTACCACCAAAGTTTCAATGTCAATCGTTTTTCGTTAGCCGGCTAATACAATTTATATTACAGTCGAATATAGTGATTCCATATAATGAATTTAACTTGCTACTAATATTACGTAATCATGTTTGTCAACATAACGGATAAATAACCTGCTAATGACCATAAGAATAACCAAAATGATAACCTGCTAATGTCCATAAGAATAACCAAAATGATAACCTGTTAATGACCATAAGAATAACCGAAATGAGAATCTGTTGATAATATTACGTTATCATCTTAGGTAACATAACGGAAGGTTTAGCCGTTTTTTTTTGTTGTTATAAAATAGTTTAGCCGGCCAACGCTTTTTTATACACAAAATAAACTGAAACTAAATTGGGCCCTTTTTAAAAAATTTCGAAGTGCGGCCCAATTTTGCAAAAATAGAACGCTATTAATAATTGTTTCTCTAAATAAGGGAGACCTCTTCTCTGATTTACCCTAGCCGCCGCCAAGCTAAAAGAATGATGAACCTATCGAAGAGCAGCTCGTCTTCGCAGATAGGTAAACATCGTTGTTTGTTAATTTGGTCGTTTGTCCTCCATTTGCTGATGGTTATTTTCATTGTATAGCTAACAGTAGTTGCCGTAATCGCGTAGCAGAAAGAAGTAGGGGGATTCCGAGACACTGTCGCTGCGGTGAGAGAGTCGTCCTTAGGACTTCCTGCACCGTTAAAAACCCTGGGAGGCTATTCTACTGTTCTCCTCTTAGCGCTGAAGGGGTAAATTCTCTTGTTTTTTTTTTAACTTCTTCACATTCGTTACGGAAGTTTTTCTAATGGTAGCCACGGTTTTAGGACAAATATCATCTCTTTTCATGGACCGACGAACGTATTGTGGAAGAAGTGGAGGATATGATGATGTTTTGAGTGATTTGAAAGAGGTGGTATCGGTAACGAGAACTGAGGTGGTTGGGTTGGCTAAGAAACTTGACCAGAGTCAACACATTCTCGACGTGTACGCAAACGGGATCTGCAGTGGATGCTGTTGTATATTATAAGTTACTACCACTTATTAGTCCACCACCTAGCTAAGTTCCTTTTTTTCAAAGGTTGGTTATTTTGTTGTCAAAACGCCTCCAACCATAATCTCCTAACTCTGTCAATTAACTGCTCCCAATATGTATTTCAAAGTTTGCGGAACTTGTCTATTATGTTCCATCTATGGATCCTTTGTAATGTTCCACGTAACTATGCTTTAATATATTTGACTAGGCTAAGTTTTCTTAATACCAATCTCCGAACAATTACTTGTATCCCTAAATCAATATCATGCAATTTATCAAAGCTAAGCGGTCTAAGTGTTCCTAACATATATTCCATAGCTTAGCAGTCTAATCTTAATCCAAATTTTTTCGTAACATATATTCAACTTATCACCTAATATTGTCTACTGTGGTTTCTTTCGGGGGGGAGACCAAAAAATCTCAGCATCTAAATTTGTTCTGTTTTATAAACAGCTGTTTATTAAAAACGCTACACATAACTGAGAATGTATACTAACATACGTTAGCATGTTATTCAATCTCTCCTTACGATAAGGAATTCTTGTGATATGTTTTCCCATCCGAATGTCTATCTACGTTCCCATCTAACAAATATGCTAAATTAGTCTATAGCATATATACATAATAGATTAGCATGTTATGCAATACCCACTACATTAATAAATTTTTTACTCTACTATTTCCCCCATGTGAATTTCAGTTTACATTCTCAGTTTATAACAACATTTTCATTTTAGTTTGCACTTTAATCCGAATGGTTCAATTGTTTAAATTTTTAAAATGTACAAAATACATTACCAGGTTATAAAGTCTACAATATTCTCAACCTACAAACACAAATTTTTCTTTGTTAGCCGTATAATATTCGAAAAGGACATGTTAGTTTAAGTAAGTAGACTGAACAAAATAAAGAGAGGAAGTTTTTATTTATGACTACAATGCGATACATCATAATTCCTACACACCCTCATGATGGAATTTTCTTACTATTGCTCATAAACTTAAGTTAATCCATGAGCCATGTCCCAAAATGATTCAACCTCTTTCCGAACAACCATCCCTTCGCATTAAACTCCCCCCTACATACTCTCCCAACTTCTTATATTGCTTCCTTGCATGTCGCTTTGTTGTGTCCCAACCCCCTACAACGGCTGCACAAAGTCCTCCTTCGAATTCGCTTAATCTGTAAACTGGTAAACGGTAAACCGATAAAGATATTTGTCATATATGTTGTACCATGTAAAATATAACTCTACTATTATCAGTTAGAGAGACTCACGATTTTTTCACCCCTCGAGAGGATTCTTTGCTTCTTTGGCCTACCAGGTGGCCTTCTTGTAGTTGGAGGATATAACTTTATGCCACCCAAACCATCAGCCAACTTAGTCACCTCAATATTATCTGGCACTGGGAGCACACTTCCTGCATATGCAGACCTCAGCTTGTCCACAGTATACGCAGGCAACACCAAGGACTCGGCGCTAATTTCCCCTTTTATTGTTGCCGCAACAGCATGAGAACATGGTATAGCAAGCATCTGAAATTCGTAGCAGCTACAAACTTTCTTAGCAAGGTTCACATGAAAACTACCCCCGTTCTTGTTACGCACCTCATACTCATCCTCCGCTATAAGAGTAACCTGGTAACCCCCACCAATTTCAAAATTTCTCGTAAGCATACCTGCGACCTTCGGTGTCATTGCGCCTCTATTCTTGTTTGCCGCGTCCCGACGAGTAGCAAACCACTCCGTCAACTTGGTGCGGATGAAGTCAACCAACGGTATTACAGGTAATTCTCGTGCTTCACGCAACACGGCATTCCAAGACTCCGCCAAGTTGCTCGTCATGATATTGTAACGGTTACCAGGAAAATGGGCTCGTGCCCAATGCTCCAAACCAATGTCGAGGAGGTACTCCGCGCAACCTGCATCCATGGTCTTAATCTCGTTGAATATGTTGTAGAAGTCTTACATCCTGAAAGTGCGCGCTGCCTTTGCAACCAGATACTCCAAATGTTTTGCTCTAAAATTTGACCGTATGTTCCTCTTCAAGTGTACAACACAAATGCAATGCCTTTCTGTTGGAAACACCTACACACGACATTAACATAAAACTGTTAGCAATATACAAAATCTAGTTTACTATTGTAGGTTTTTGTTTACAGGCTATTTAATTTAGAACTTGCTAATTGTTTCTCTTACCTTGCTAATACCCTTAGTTATAGACGTATGCCTATCAGAGACAAAGACAACATCATTCCCACCGCTAACGAAAGTTGTCATCTTCTGGAAAAACCACTCCCAAGACGAGTCATTCTTATTATCCACAATTGCAAAAGCCAGAGGGAAAATTTGGTAGTTTCCATCCTGGGAAAATGTTGTAAGCAAGCAACCCGCGTATTTCCCCTTCAAATGTGTACCATCAACGACGATTACCTTCCGCATATTCTCATATCCTTGAATAGATGCCCCAAATGCCACAAACATGTACTTGAAACGTTAAGCAGCGCCATCAATCGTGTCTGTAAAAAGTCGGGTGATTGTCCCCGGATTTGCAACCACAAGCCTCTTCAGATAATCCGGGAGCTGATTGTAAGAAGATTTGGCAGTGCCCTTGACCTTGTCAATGGCTACGTCCCTTGAACTCCACGCCTTCCAGTACGATATATTGACATCATGATCACCACGCACCATTTGTGTTTTTTCTCGTGGTCTTGGTCCGGTACAAGCACCGCCAAACTTGTTTCTCATGAGCTCGCCGACAACTGAAGCTGTTGCTTGTGTTTGATAACCTCCCCGCTCGTCCACAGAACAAGTGTGGTCCGAGATGACTTTCCTTGTCTCAAAAACCTTTGCATCCTTCAGCTTGACTGCATAAACTCTCCATGGGCAACCCTCTCCGCAGCACTCAAGAACCATCAATCCTGGTTCCGATTTCCTACTTCGGAAGCAAAACTTATTGTTTATCGCGTGCACGGCCATATACTATTTGAACTCGTCCCTACTTCTGAATATCATTCCTACATCAACATCGCCATCGTAGTCACCAATTTCACCTGCAAAAGTCCGTGTTAGACTCTATATCTTCAAATTTCCTTATCACCAACCTGGCTATACAAATGCTAAACAAGTCATTATCATATATAAAAAGATACATTAGCATGTTAAAAGACATTTGTTACATAAAGATATTCGTTTTTCGCTCTTATTATTCCACTCATGGTAATCTCATACTAATTACTCTCGAATTACACAATAGGTACTTAACAATACTAAATAAGTAATAAATCTTTTTCCTAGCAATGTTCATTTTTAACAGTCTAATGACCACTAAAGGTATGAACAACATACATTAATCTGACTGTATAACAGTTAAGTTAGCAGATGACTTTTTAACTATAGAAAGTATGAATAACACAGCAAAATCAGTCATCTGTTTTGATACTTTATACAAAGTTTGAATTACCCGGATATATTTTTAGTCAATCCAATTAAAAGTAGATGGTTAACACGCTACAACACCTTAGAAATTGGGCTCATAAATGTTTACTACCAACAGTTTAACTGGATTTACTATGTTCACTAAACACTTACGTGTCAAATTATACAAGCAAGGTAAGAGTAGTTTATTTCAAAAAGCTTGTACACCTTAGCAAAAACCAGACATTAGCGCCGAATACATTATAGATGTCATAGAGACTGTTTTAGTACATTACATAAACATTTAATAAGCCGCCTAATATTTGGAAAAACAAGAAAATACCCGATTGATAACAAGCAACAAATAGCATGCTAACAATACAAGAGACGATAACGAAAACAGTAGCATGCTAACATCAAAACACTTAAACAGAGAACACATCCGAAAATACGTGTGGCCGACGTAGCTGTTTTGTATTCAGCACACACCTTCTGTGCTACTTCCTTCAGAAGAAGTCTCGGGCTGCCTCTGTTTTGGATTGGTGGAGCCTTCTCCCTTTGTCCCACATATCATTGCCAACTTCATCATAGGTTGAAGTGTTTGGCATTCGTTTGTCTGAGTGTCCACTGGTTGTGTAGTTGCCAACACCAAACCTTGTGTAGCCTCCATCTCTGAGGAAAAATGTGTGTCGTTAACATGATCAAAATCACATTAATATTTCTGTTACAAAATCTCACTTACCGTTGCTTGTGGGCTGAGTGAGTGGGCCAATGTTTGCTTGAGATGAACTTGTGAAAGAACCGTTTGTGTCATCTAGTCCATCGGGTGATGGGCACAAACCCAATGACTGCCAAAACCTCATCTGATCGTTAAGGCCCCCATTAGCTCTCGGCTCCGCCGTGGGATGCTCATTGATTTCTTTTCCAGTGGCTGTTACAACATTATAAAATGCAAAATAACACTTGTCACTAATTTCCATTAACCAGCTAAACTGTCAACATTACAAAACAAAAATATTGTTAACCGGCTAACCTCCTGCAGCATCTAATTGGGCTCACTCGCCCATCTCGTCTTGTTGTCGCTGGGGCCTTGGGTTTTCTGACATAGTAGTCATCTCCATACCAACTTCCCATAATATCGGTGGCGCACCTCCTTCACCAGCGGATCCAATGACAGCGGTATGTCTCTCGACTTGTACTTCAAGGGGGGAAAATATTTATGTCAACCACTATTAGTTAACCAGATAACCTCATAGCGCAAACATCCAATCAACACATTAAATGGCTAAACTTTTAAACTTAATTCATTCATCCACTTACCGGCTATCGAATTTTCGTCGGTTGTTTGGACCCTCGTTGGCTGATCTTGCATCGCTGCCATGTCCATTCCCACATCCCACAGAATTGGGGTTGCACCCTGTTGATCTACAGGCCCAACCTTGTTT